GAAGGTGTCTATCTAAAAAATTGTCTACTGACATATAAACTCTGTTCACTTCTGAAAGACAACCTCACAAAGCCTGAAAATGTGTTGAGTTCCATGTGTCTGGGTGGAGAAGGGGTGCTATTTCTAGAGGACGAAAAGATCGTTTTTCAAAGTCATTTTCTGACATGAGTGTGCCTCTGTTGATGGATCACATCAGAGTTAGTCTTTGAAGCTTTAAGAATAAGTGAGAACTTATGTGAAAAACAGAATTTTTTTAGTGGCCATTGTGTTGGCAATTCTTGGAAAGATTTCCCTCCCCTGCTTTCCAGAGCTCAGCTGAGCAGGTGTTCGGGCTTTATCTGTTGCAAACAGTAGCCGCTATTACTCCCCCATCCCCGCCTCTCAAGAGCCAGTTTTCCTGCTTCCAGATGTAAGGCCACTCCTCCCTCCCGCCCACCTCACCTCCCAAAAGAAGAAAAATGGGTTTCAAAGAACTAGCAGAGAGTGGCGGCTTCTAAGCTCAGTCAATTCACTCACCCTCCTTCATGCTGTAGTACATCTGCTACTAATTATTCTATCTGGGAGCACATGGGATGTCCAGCAAATAGGGGGATTTCCATAGGAACTCTTTCCACTCCTTCTCACGTCATGGGTTTTATTATCTGAGCTGTCACCTTCGCCATGTGTGCTGGGAGGTGGCTCCGTGCTGCGCCATAGAGTGCTGGCCAGCAAAGAGGTCTGAGCTCATCTGCGCGGGGGGAGACCTCGCCTGCGAAGCCTTTAAAAAAAGCCGTTCTACTGGCAAGCTCAAAAGAAAAGCTAAGTCGAAACAGCTTAAGGAAAGAAGTGGCCTATATCTCACACGCTCAGCTCCTCGGATACCACTAGCTTGGAGAAGCTGTCCAAGAGTTTGGGAGAAAGTTTGGGTTGATGTCTTCGCTCCTGGCGTTCTAAATGCCAGTTCAGATAAGGACTGAAAAATAACCCGACCTCAAAGATCGGAAACAAGTGGTAGCTTGAGGAGTGACTGCTCAAAGAAGATGCCAACACCCCCAAACTACAAAAGGGACTGCTAGCCCAGTATAGCCCCCACCCCCCGCAGAGCCACTTTTTACCCCCACGCTTTCCCAGGAGCAGAGGTCTGAACGGAACAGGAAGAAAGGGAGTCTACTGTAACAGAAGCAGTGTTCAAGTACTGAGAGCGGCAGTAGTTTAGCAGGGAGACTGTGGTATTGGGGGCACGCCCCCGCGAACGGAAGGATCCTGCCTTTGCCCTCTCCAACTACGCGCAAGGCCAGGACGCAGCTGCGGCGACACAAAGGTGCCTCATTTACATAGCCCTGGGACCCACAATGCCTGGGCAGCGGCGGGGGTGGGAGCTCCTCCCGCACCTGGAAAAGCTGGCTCTGAGAACGTTGGACCTGACCTGGAGTGGGGGAACTGACTCTAACTGTCCGGGATCCACTTTGTCCCCTGATAGCCTCTCACTAGGTGGGCACTGTGGAGAAGCCAAGATGTGCACAGCCAGGATCGAAGACGGAAACTGCCACAACCCACGGAGAGGCACCTGCCCTCTCATTTCCGAGACGCTGACTCAGCTGACCACAGGTCCCTTCCCTCACTGTCCTGGGCTGTCTTAAAGCTTAGGGAAACCGCCCTAAGGTCAGCGCTCCGGATACCTTTTCTCGGAGATGTTTGCTACGTGGTACGAGGAACAGGCCCGGGTGTGAAGCTCAGTAGGAGGCAGTCGGGGTGGGAGGGGTGTGTGCCCGGACAGAGGCGCTCCCAGGCGTAGCTGCCTAAGTTTTTTGAGCACTAGAGAGGAGTCATTGTGCCAAAGTGTCAGACTTGCATCGCGAGAGTGCATTTGCCTGTGGGTGGGGGTGTGTGTGTGTGTGTGTGTGTGGGTGTGTGGGTGTGTATGAGAGAGAGAGGAGGGAGAGAGCGAGAGCGAAATGAGAGAGCGCGGGTAAGAAAGCCCCTGCGCAAGTGAGTGAAGCTTTGTACCCGGAAGACCTGCGGGCGGGGGACTGAAAGCGATTAGGCAAGGGTCAGCGCCCTGTGCAGACAGCTCCCCAATCCACAGACTTTGATAGGAGGACACGGGTTCTGGGTCAAGTTATGGCCCTTGGGTGGGGGGAGGGGATGTGGAGGGCGGGGGTTAAGGGTAGAAAGGACAGCATAGAGCCCTTGAGGGTGGTTTTCCACCACCTGACGGGAATTGGGGCCGGGACAGCTTCCTGGCTGGGCTCAGCAGTTGCCATAGCACCGAGGCGAGGCAGAGTTGCAGGGTGGCTGGCGGCTCCTAGTCAAGCCTAGTCGGTGGAGGAAGTGGGGAAGGGACTAGTTGCCACCTCTTCAGCAGAGGCAGTGCTTCTCACCAGCACCTGGCAGGCCACTGCCCAGGGGTAGCTGCTTCAGCAGCAAATCCAAACCCTACCCTTACAAGAAACGGATCTAAGGATGAGGCTTTGGTTGATCCTTGGAGTCAAATTTGAAATTAACCTTTCTCAAGAATGGCTTATACACTCTCAACCAACCATCCAGTCCACTCAAAACATGTTTCCCCAGAAGGAAAAAAAAATAAAATAAACCACTGCATCCAAATAGCCCCAACAGGGGAAATGGTCCAATGATTACAATGTACACAATCCTTCCCCATAACTCAGGTCAGAAATCAGAGAAAATAGATCTCCACGTGGAAGATGTCTGAAGTTAATGGAGAAAATAACAGGTTATCTAAAAACTGAGCTGTTGGTTTAGGGTATCAAGGCACTGCAAGAAAGTCTTTGCCTACTCTCCTATTTCTTAAGGACATTCTTAGTAAGCATTGGTCTAGGAAAATATATTTTTGTGTGTGTGTCAGCTCTTTTAGAAAGCTGCTACACACTCTGCTATAGTCGCCAAGATTTTTAATATGAAGATATGAAATGATCAGCGAATGTAACAATCTAATGATTCAGCAAATATTGTGCTGCAAGACCAGACCAGCAATAATTAAATCTTTAGAGTATCGGTGGCAGTTTTTCAGCTCCAAGTCTTCTTTTTTTTTCCCCACCCAGTCCGCAAGCAAACACACTAAGGCACACTCATTCACAAACACATTTCAGAAGATACCTCAGTATTCCAAATAAGTACGTTGTACTACTCAAAATATTGGGCAAAACTACCATACTGTAGCATTTACCATGCTTGAAAGAGAACAGCTGAACGCACACACATTTTTAATGATACAGGGACCTGTTTAATCTCATCCAAAAAAACAGGCATTCCTGTGGACGCTTGTTGCTAAGAGCAACGTGCTTAAGTACCATCTAAAGGCATGAAGAAAGCAAAAAAAAAAAAAAAAAAAACACTACAGTAGGAATTTAGATAGACCTGTTGTCTCTGTCATTACCAGCCTTCTGGACTCCAGGTGTTTATGTGTTGAATGGGGGGAGGGGAAGGTAGGATTCCCTTTTTTTTTTTTTTTTTAAAGATTTTATTTATTTGTTTGACAGAGAGATAGAGAGAGAACACAAGTAGGCAGAGGGAGAGGGAGAAGCAGGCTCCCCGCAGAGCAGGGAGCCCGATGCGAGACTCGATCCCAGAACGCTGGGATCATGACCTGAGCCGAAGGCAGCCGCTTAACCGACTGAGCCACCCAGGTGCCCCCTTTTTTTTTTTTAATATGTGAAAAGCATTCCTACCCTGGTTTCACAAAGCCTGAGAAAGATGAGAGATTTTATCATTACAGAAAAAGCACATGAAAAAAAGGAAAGAGAAGAGATGCTGTTGACATGAAAGGATATGCAGGCAATCACTTCAACTTAAATTTGACTGACTTAATGTATCTGTTTTTATCTCAAAGACGCATGCTCAGGATTATATGGTTTCTCGCACTCTTTGGTCTAAATCCACTTGAACTGTCAAAGGAGGCGCCCACAGTGGGAGCATTTACCTGGTTGGCTTTCTCCTCTCTCCCTCTTACCTACTTAAGGGAACTTTCCCTGACTAGTTCTTCTCCTACTAAAACTCCATTGGCCATCCACAGCAGCTGAGTGTTGCCCACGCTTCATTTCCTCCAAGCAGACCTTCTGACCAGCGTTTTCACGGAATCCCATGTTTAGATTTCCCTTTGAGCTCTAAAGGCACCCCGATTGCTTAGGAAAGTAATAGATTCCTCTAATATATAACTGCCACTCGACTCTTTTATCATGCCACAGTGAAATAAAGATGCATACTTAGACTCCCATACACAACTCCTCTCCGCCCCATTCACCACTGTTAATCATTCATTAGATCAGGACAGGTAAGAAAGCTGGGAGTGGAGGACTCACAAGTTAAAAACAAAACAAAACAAAACAAAAAAAAAAAAAAACCTTTCTTAGGCCGCTATTTCTCTTCAGCTAAGCAGCTGTCTCCTCCTGCTAAGTAGAGCCTCTACCTTACAACAATATTTTTCAAAGCCCCGCGTCCCCGTAAAGGCACCAGGGGCTGGAAAAGCGGTGAAATTAACCTAAAAGGCTCTCTGATGACAAAAGAAATCAAAAGGGTTAGCGCCTTTCACTCGCGGACCTGTCCGAGTCCCAGACCGAAGCGGACAGACGCCAACTTGCCAAGGAGTTCCCAGATACTGACTCTTCAGCCCCGCAAGCGGAGAGGCGTGGAGCCCTGACGCGCGCTTCCAGCCCGCCAAGCCCGGAAGGCTCCCGCCGAGAGAGGCGGGCGCAAGCCGGCGGTGCCCCAGCATCATCACCGTCTGCGGCTACTGTGTGGAGGTAATGCAGCGACCACCACCACCACACTGGCACTCACTTCACCCTCCCGGGGCTAATTTTTTTTTTTTTTTTTTTAATAAAAGAAAGAGAAAAGGAAATGAAAATGACGCGCGGGGGTTCTTTAAAACCCCGGGAGGCTCCGGAGCAGTGAACAGGTCGCAACGCATTGAGCCCACCCGCCCGTCAGAGTGAGCCCGCCTGTTTACATCCGGCTGCCTCGGAGCCGGATACCCCGCAAGAGAAAGAGATGGGGAATCTTACCAAATCTTAATACATGTGTGGTTCCTTGGGAATATCCAAACCACAGTAAGCAGAGCAGGAGTTTAATGGTGCGCCTGAAGACTGGATTACTTAGAATCGGGGAAATAATCTTCATGGTGTTTCTGTGTCCACACGCGCGGCACCCACTTCCCCGATCTAGCGTTAGGCTCCCGGTGCGGATAGGAATGAGGATGCGTCGAGTGGTGGCCGCAGACACGATCACGGCATGGTCACAGAGAGGAAGGAGTCTCCGCTTCCCAAACCCATTAGCAATCGCTGCATGTTCCTCACTCACTGCGCCAAGGAGCAACCTTCCACTGCAAGGGATGGTGGGACATCCATGTTAGTCGGGGAGCATCCGGGAGAAATCCAGCACGCACACCCACAATGTCCGGCCGCGCGAGCCTGGGGAAGCAAAGGAGGAGGAAATCAATAGGAAATCCAGCCTTGGGAACCTCCGAGGCGTCGGTAATGAGCCACTGTCCCAGCACAAAAGGCGCTTTGCTCGCAAAGGTTTTGCCAGGCCCTATTCTACTGCACTGCCGCACAGCTTCTGACGTGAAGCCAAGATTAAGTGAGAAAAATTGAGATAGCTGCTTGCCTGTTAAGGCTCTCCGCCAGCGAGCTTCCCCAATATCTCTTATGCAACCTATCTCAACGCCCGCCTTGAGTTTCAAGAAAGAAGTCGGATTTACTTACGTGGAGAAAAGTGCTTTTATTTTCCATAAGAGTCTTTGCTAAGAGAGTGACTGGTGTATGCAAGCGGACTTCTTACAATCCACCGATGAATTTTAATAAATGACAAGTTAAACCAAAGTCACTTTGCCTGTAAGTTGTATAAAAGGAAGTGGTCTAAGGCAGAGGAATTTACTGCAAATATAACCTGTGTTTAGGCTGAAAGAAAGTCTTGTTTATATTCTTAAAATTTTGTCCAGGAGTGAATATAGATTAGAGTGCAATTGCAGAAGTCAAGATAGTCTTTAAAAACTTGAGTGGACATTCCTTGATTACTACCCAGGAATAAAAAATAGATTTCTTCAAGTGGTCTTTTTAGGAGGAAAATTGTTGAGTTAAAATGAAGGAATCATACTTTCCCACCCATTTTTTTTAGCTCATCTAAAATAATTGTGCCTATATAAAAAGACAATGATGTTTAAGTTGGTATAACAAACTCGAAAAGCTTCAATAATTTATGCCCAAATTTGTTCTCATTTTGGTTTTTTGAATATGTTTTTCTTTCAGAGGCAGAATATGGGATCATAGCTTGGGCGACACTGAGTGTCACAGTTTTGTCTAAAAATGCCTTATTATTGCCTAGTGTTCTGGTCAGAATATTTAGAGTCTTCAAGCAGTGACGGACTGTCTTGGCTTTCACCACGTGCAATTTATTCAATGAAAAGAAAAGTACATAAGTATATATTCTTTTAACATGAAAATACATTTTGCTGTTGAAATAAGTAATATGCTGCCATCCAGGCATAGAGATTAAAATACCCAGTCTTAATATTTTACATTCATAAGTGAAACTGAAATGGTTAGTAGTAAGCATATTACTACATATTAGTATTTTAAGTGATCAAGTAGCACGAAACGCAAACTGCTGGACTTGTTTCTTAAAATTAATCTGTTTTTCATAACCAACTCACAGGGCATAGGTTAAACCTTATGAAAAAATTATAAGATTCTACCTTATTTGAAGAATATCTAATTTTTTAATAAGGAGGGATATGAGTACTATTTATTCCAGATAGCAAGAAAACGATGTAATGTTTTCATTCCATCATAGCGATTTTTTTCATTCTACTTTTTTCTTAAGGTATTATAAAATGCTGATTTGAGAATAAAGCTACATTTTGCAAAAGCATTAAGTGCACATTGACTTTTAAAAAAAGTGGAGGCATAACTGCAGTGTCAAAAATAAGTATCATGAATGACTAGTTCTGCAGTGTAGCAGGCAATTCAATCAAATAATTTGACTATTTGAGCACTTTAAAAGGAACACCTTGTGCTAAAACCAAGGGTATCTAGCGACTCCTTCAGTCCATGTTTAAAATATCTCTTCTAAGACATGTATAGTCCAATATGTTCTGTATTTGTTGTCTCATTTATCCTATTCTGTTTGTTCTTTCTCTTTTTGATCCTAGCAGATATAATAATGACAGCCAGAGCAACAATAAATATTCTTAGTTTTTTCATCTGTCAACATGATTGATATACACTACCTGAAAAGAGCATGTTCTATTGTGACTAATCAAAATACTGCAGTTTTGCAGTATAGTTAGCATTTAATAAAACCTGGGAAAACAAAATGTACCATAACTCCTTGTTAACATAATGGCATTTGACATTACAGTTGTAACTTCTCTACTTAAAACTAATATTTTAAACTATCTGGCTTTTGTGGGATTATTTACTGGATTTCTAGTTGGAAAAGTGAAAGATCAAGCTTCCAGATTCATGAAGTTCTTACCCAGTATATTAAACAGTAAAAAGTCTATCATAAATTTTTCTTACTATTAATTGGTCCCCAGAGAACCAATTTTGCACATATGCTAAATTAGGTTCATTTACATCCATCAACTAATCCGAAAGACTTCAGCATCACAGACAACAACTCCACCTGCCTAATTGAACTTCGGCAGGATAGGAGAAGACCTTTCTTCAGGACCGCGGACAGCGCTCCAGGCATTGATTTATTCTGGAGTAGTACATTGAAAGTAGTACATTGAATGGGTAATGTGCCATTTGAAGTGACAATGTGAATATTTCTACTACACAGAGTCTGGGAATTTGAACTATTGCATTGTTCACATTGTCAAGAGGACTATTTTGTCAACTGTGTTGTGTGTATATTTCAGTGTGCCTTACTGGGTTTGCTTAGCATACCCAGGATGTGCTAATAGTCATCCCTTTCCAGGGCATAGTACTACAAAAGCCATCTACATTAACTGTGAGTTCCCTCATGAGCACTAAACTACTGTTTCTCAGTATTTAAAAAAACGCCGGAAAGACCACCAAGAATTCAGAATACTGAATAACATGCTGTCAATATTCAGTGGCTAAAGACATTTCTAAAATGTACAATTAGTTATTGCTTGAATTCTCCACCTTCAGCTTTTCATCTGTTACAAGGGTAATCAGGTTAATTCCCATTCTTTTTCATTAAACTCTGCTCACTCCCAGGACAAAAACAACAACAACCCTTAAAAAAAAAAAAAAAAAACCTAAAACAAAAACAACAAAAATCCTAAGATTACCTCCCCAATAATAGAATGGAATAGAATAGATTGTAGAGAAGATACCTCAGAGTAGGGCAATTTTGAAGTTATTGCAAGTTTCTCCCCAATACTGATACCACACATCATAATTCTAAGGCTATATGAAGGATTGATAAAGTCATTATATAGTATTCACTGACCAGATTGAACTCTTTTTAAAATTGTGTCAGTTCTGTAATTTGCTCCTTTCTCAAAGGGAAAAAAAATACTATTTGGTGTCAGACAATCATATATTTACCAATAGTGAGATTTACACACCTTATTGCGTAGTTTCATTTGCTTTTTGTCTCTATTTTAACCATATGGCAACCTTGATTTCTAGGAGCCAAAGCTCTGTAGGTTCCAAGGTCAAAGCAGAGATGACAAACAGCAAATGCACACATATATGCACACATAGAGAGAAGCTTTATCTAAAGTAAGCCTACACACACACACAAACACACACACACAGAAGGCTGACATGAAGAGATATCAAGCCTGTGATAAATTAGCAAAGAACAAAATGTATATCGTGTTCATGCAAAGCTTGTTCCAACAACAACAAAGTGCCATTACCTTCATCTTTCACTGTGTTTTTATATTTACTGACACTAATGACCTCTTATTCTTGGGCACTATTACTTGAGAAGCAATTTTAGTTTTCTATTCTCCCAGTGAAAATGAATCTTATTCTAGTTAGCTGCCACCTGCTGGGGCATGTACAAATGTGTAATAATCCTTACAGCATAACATTTAAAAAGACAATGCCTATACCTTTTCCAAGAAACAGCAAATACATATCCCAGGACAACCTGAATTTCAAAGGTGTTTCAAAGGTTCTTCCATGCCATATCTGTATTTAAATTTTTTTCACATGGAATTCTTTCTAAGGATTCTACTTGACTTGTCACCAAAGTCCTGCTGTTATGTGACATTTGAGAAACCTCATCTAATAGTAACACCTGACCTATTCTTCCATGTGTGTAGCCTGTTGTATGGAAGCTGAGCTAAAATAAACAGGCTGTTCATCCATGGCATTAGAGGTGCCAGAGAATAAAGTCAGAGCTGATATCAGTTAAAAACACACTGTTGCATACTTGCACTTCGCTCTTTCTAACTATGAATGCTATGCTATGCAATCCCTTGTGATTCTGAACACATACCAGCTGTTCCACCAACATTCTGCTGCACTGATGATTAAAGACATTTAGAGCTTTAATTAATTTTTAGATGCCAAAAATAAGTGTACCTTAATTAAGAAATTGAATTGGAATCGCTTTACATGTCCTGGAATCTTTTTTTTTATTTTTAAAAATTTTAGTCTGTGCAATCCCCAATGCATTTTAAAATAGAAGAAAACAAACAGGTAAGACTCCAGGCATCATTTATTTCTCAATCACTTTCCTTCTGTGTGTTTCATTTTGTTTGTTTGTTTATTTGATTGTTTAATTAGTTTCTAAGGCCACTGAAACCTGTCTCGATGGTTACAGGAACGGTTCCTATAAAAAGTTAGGCAAATCAAAATTGAAATATTATCATCTATCTTCCAGTAACTAAACTACAAGCTAATTAAGATTCAAATGAATCAATCACCTCTTTTGAAATAAAAATAATCATTAATCCGTAAGGTAATTTCTGATGACAGAATACTTACAGTATGAAGATGAAGAAATGCTAGAAGGTAATCTGTGTGTTACCAAGAGGATAGTAGTAGTAAGTTTTCTAACGTCCGTCCCCTATTCTCTAAACTGGAAATCATTACCCAGGGAGCCTCAGCCTAAGTCGTGGTATTTAGTAAAGAACTCCTTGGAGGTAAAAATATCAGGGGGTGAGAGTCATTAAAAGTTTTTAACGTTTATGATCCACCCTGGTGGGTGACTCCCCCTACCCTAATGGGACACCCTCCGAGTTTTTTTAGAAGCTCTCAACACTGGCACTGGTTAAAATGAATGTCTGTAGTTCAGCACAGAACTAAAGAGCAGGGTTAATGGAAAAATGGGCGGATGGAAGGAAGGCTGGGGAGTTCTTCAGACCCGCAGGCAGATACACACATTCTTGCCATCTGTCTCTCTTCGCCTCGCGTGAGTCCCAGTAGCTGAGGCCACTTCCTGACACGTCCACTTATTATTTTATATGGAGAAAGCGAGCGCCCGCAGCCAACTGAGCCAGTTGTATCCTTGACGGGAATTGGCTGAGGCGAGCGGGACAAAGCCACTCGCAGCGAATCGGTCCCGCGGGTGCCCTGAGCGCACCGGGCTCCGCGGCGCTGCTGTTCGCCTTCTTCCTCTCCAGCCGTTAAAAGCCCCTCGCCCACCCCTGGTCCCTCCTGTGGGAACATACACCTCGGGAGGCAGCCCAGAGCAGAGCCCACCGGGGGGAGTCCTTACCTCTCGCTGCGGGTGAGGTAGGCAGGGAGGGGGAGGGGTGGCCCTCGGGGAGGAGCAGCCGGAGGAAGTCGGGTGGGAAGTCTGCGGCTCCCGGACAGAGGAGCGCAGCCGCGGGCGCCCAGCGCGAGTGACGGCGGCGGCGGAGACGGAGACCGCGGAGCAGCGGCGGCGGCGGCGGCGGAGACAGACACGCCTCCTGGCGGGGGTTCCTCGCCTCTTGCTTTAAAGGCGCCGCGCTCCTTTCCCCGCGGCCCCTGCACACACCCAGCGGCTGCGGCCACCAGGACGCAGCGCTCGCCCCTGGACCTAGACCGCAGGAGCGAAAGTGCGATAATTCTGGGTGCCTCCAGGCTTGGACGTTAAAAATCCCCTGGCCGGGACTTCATCTCCTGCGCACACCCCCGCCTGCTCTGGGATGGAGGGACGGGGACTGAGATGTTCGGTCAGGGAGTGCTGCAAACCCCCAAGGAATTCGCCTGCCCCCCGCCCCCCAACACAAACAAGGAGCCCGAGCACGTTTGGTTCTGGGTGGTGGCTTTTATACCTCTTCGAAACCATAGCAACGAAACTTCTCTGCTGCCAGGATCTGGGGAGCAGCTGGTAGTCTCCAAAGTGGCCCTTTTAGTCCAACTACTGTAATTTCCCTTTGAGGTTTGCGGTAAAGATTTTGACCTGCGACTTACCTCCAACTACGCCTCCTGTGTACACTACTAATGCTCTCCCCACCGCGCTGCCCATACCCACTTAGACGCCTGGAATCCGCGCACCTCACCTCGCGTCTCCTCCGTTGCTGAAAGCAATCACTTCTCCCGAGTGTCAGGGGGAGGGGGTGTTGGCGAGAAGTCTCTGTGACTGTCTGGTGCCTAATGACAAACGGCTTCGACCCCCCCCCCACCCGCCCCCCGCGCCCCGCCCAGGTCCTTGAACTATCAACCCAAGCAAATTGCAGAAAGAAGTTGGGGTTTGACATCTGGTGGGCGCAGAACCTGAGGTCGCAAACTCAAAGGTCGGAGAAAGGAGCCTGGAGATCAGTCCCGGCCAGGCGGCCGCCCGTCTAAATTCCCTGGAGGATTTTTTATTGGGCCCGAGGTGGGGAGGAGCACCGAAAACCAGGAATCTTCCCGTGGCTCGGCTTCAGGGAGGAGCCGCTGGCGGCGAGCACTAAAGGCTTCCCCTGCTTCTCAGCAGAAACGATTAGCTTCTGCAAACAATCTCTGATTTCTGCTCCTCTGGGTCGGATAAGTCAACATCTATTCAATACCATTGCTATTTTATCCTCGGCCCTACGATATTAACTAGAGCAGAGACTTAGCAAGTTGCCCCGGGAGGAAGTTGGCGAGCAGGGATTCGCGAAAAGGTTTAAATGAGGCTAAGCGGGCGCAGGCCGCCCCTGAGCCTGGAGACAATTTGCAAACGGGCTGTAAGAGGAAGTGGCCAGGTGAGATCCTGCGGAGTCCTCCAGCAGCTCTGTTCCCCGGAGGCACTCAAATCTGTAATTTTGAAGGCCCGGAAGTAGAGAGGCTCTGCGTCTCCAGGCACTGATTGTCTTGGCTGGAGACAAGAGTTTGCCCTTTGGTTGCTTCTTTCTTTGCAACCCCCTTACAATTAAGCCCCCGCCGGAGCCTGGCTCAGCATTGCCACCCTGCACGCCCTGGGGCTAGCGCCTGATTAAGCCTAGTCCTGCAACAAACCGAAACGGTCCTCCCAAACCCTACCTGGCTCTCAAGCAAGACCACCAGCCTCTAGCTTCTTGGACACCACTGCGGAATCTCTGTACCTCCTACATGCCTCCTGCGCCCGCCCAGGTTGGGGAGGCTCAGGACTCAGAGAGGTTAAGGAGAGATTAGTTAGCGGCAATGGAGAGTCTGTTAGTCATTTAAAGATCCAGGGGGTGGCAGGGAGGCTCCTGTAATTAAGTCAACAGCAGCCTTGTTGTACGGAGTAAATAAATAGTCAATGACTCCATTGTGCCTCGTGGAGCGGGCAGCACAGACGCGTGACTGGCTCTGGGCGCCTGGGCTCCAGCTGCTGTGACCTGCAGCCTAATGGGCCCTCGAGGCACAGCCCAGTTTGGGCCAGGCCCGGAAAAAATACCCTATTCAGCCCCATTCCCCCCGCAGGAGGAATGGAGACAACTTGTCTCCTGGCCAAAGACACTCTCGTCATCATAGAATCCAGCTTTCCCACTTCCAGGGAGGGAGGAGCAAAATGCTGTGCACAGAGTAGATTCCAGAGCAAAGCCCTGGGTGAGGGCATCCGGCTCTGTTTTGTCGTGGCTGTGAGAGAGTAGAACAGGGAGTATGTCTCATTTGACTTTAAGTGTTCAGCATAGGGTTTGGCATGCAGTGGGTGCTGAAGGAAAGAATGAGGGGATTACTGGATCAACCTTCCACATTCCACACTGTTGTCCCCTCCCTCCTTTTATCTGGGAAAGGAGAGGCTTCAAACAACTTCCTCTAAGTGCTGTGTGTATTCTTAGAACCTAGTCATAAATTTCTTTTCCAGAGCAACCAGGACACATTTATAAAGAAAGAAATAACAGGCACTAGCAAGGGCTTGGAGGGCAGGGGGAAAGAGCTAAGAGAATGAAACAAATCAAAATTATGCATGTTATGACAAATTCATTTCCTCAATAACAAAATGTTACCTGAATTCTAATGAGAAAAGTAGAATAACAAGGGAGCATTAGACTACACACACCCATTTAACCCTTCAAAATAAAATTCTTCAACACTATAAGGAGACATTTTCCATAATTTATTTCAGTGTTTATGAGGTTATACTTTAAGGAATCAGACCCCAGGTCTCTTTAGGGGCAACAGTGAAGTTTTTCTTCTCCATTCCCAGTCATCCATCCATAAGAATTAATCTTCTGTGTCTGAGGAGGTCACTGAGTCCCTCAGCTAGAGTCCTATGCAGGAACCACCTATCTTCCCTTTCTTCCCTCTTAAAGTACTCTTAGAACTTTAGCAGGTCTACAATTCTGCCTCCTGAGGGCCCAGCAAGGACCAGTCTGAATTCCCAAACTCACTACAGGTTTTGTTTGTTTGTTTGTCTTCTCCATCAGCTTTGTTTATATTGAATTACAATCAAAAGGTATTACTTTGGATCATTTAGTCCCAACCCTTCATCTTACAAGTCACACAAAACAAAGCAAAGAAGAGGAGTGACTTGCTCAGGATGTGGCAGAATGAAGACTGCCTTCTAGCTGTGTAGAGCAGCATCAGGCTGTCTCCTGCCATCCTCTTTCAAAACTTAGAATCATATGAAGTTAAGACTAAAAGAGACTTCAAGGACTTCTACTCTATTTCAGGGTCACAGAACTTTCTCTCATCTGGAAAAAAAAAAATGTACACGTTTACATGGCCTTGAAATTTTTCATACAGCAATAGGAGATGCACATATCCCCTGAAACTCATTGTGGGGGAATCCAGTCCCTAGATCCTAGGCTAAAAACCTCCAATCTAGTCCAACAACATCATTTTACAGCTGGTGAAATCTAAGCAACAACAACAAGAACTTTAGAGTCAGAGTGCATTAAGGACAATTCCCGGATGCTAGGTGTCCTGATTCCCACCTGTCCCTACTCCCTCAAGTTTTCTTAGTTGTAACTGGACATAAATTACACTGAGGTATTAATAACTCATAATGACTTAATGGATTTTTCTCTCAGAAAAATTAATACGTGACCTTGAAGAATGGATCTATTATTCATTTCTGAAACCTCTCAGTATATTTACTGAGTACATACTCTCTGTCGGGCAGTGCTCTAGCGCTAGCAAATGACAGTAAACAAATTAAACAAAAGCCCTGCCCTCACTGAAGGCAGTTTAGTGGCAGAAAGATAAATAATAAACAAATAGACAAGCAAATACATAAGATGTCAGATAGCAAGAAGTGTTACAGAGAAAACTAAGGCAAAGTGAGCAGAATAGGGCATGCTGGGAACACGGGCATGCGGGAAGGTGTTGTTTTACATAAGGTGGTCAGGGAAGGTCTCCCTGAGTAGTTGACATTGGAGTAGAACTCTGAAGGCAGTTAAGGGAGAGATCTAGGTACATAGCTGGAAGAAGAGGAAACAGCAAGTGTCAGGTCCTGTGATTGGAACAAGTGTAAAGCCCCTAAGGAAAATCAGTGAAGCCAATTCCCAGAGATGAGAAAGGAGATTGATAAAAAAAAAAAATCCAGTCAAGAGAGGGTTGGGTCCTAGAGGAGTTTCGATTTTCCACTAAAAACAATACCGAAGCCTTGGGAGGGGACTGACCAGAGGAGAAGTATGATCTGACATAAATGTAAAAGGATATCTCTGGCTGTGCTATTAAGATTGCCTACACTTAATAAAAGGCAGCATGTAAGCAAGACAACCATTTAGGAGGTTACTAATAATCCAGAGAAGAGCCAACTGTGGACAGCACCAGGATAGTAGCATGAGGATGGTAAAAAAAAAAAAAAAAAAGGTCAGATTACAGATTTTTTTTTTTTTTAGATTTTATTTATTTATTTGACAGAGAAAGACACAGCAAGAGAGGGAACACAAGCAGGGGGAGTGGGAGAGGGAGAAACAGGCTTCCCGCCAAGCAGGGAGCCCAATGCAGGACTCGATCCCAGGACCCCAGGATCATGACCTGAGCCGAAGGCAGACGCTGAACGACTAAGCCAGCCAGGCACCCCAGATTACAGATTATTTTTAAGTAAAGCTGAGAAAACCAAGATTTTTCCCAAAAGCCTGGTGAATGAAGTAATCTCCCAAATGAGTGACTGCTCAGCTCTGCTAAATGCTGCTGATAGGTGAAAGGAGTGAGTGCTAAGAATTGACCACTTGATTTAATGATGTGGAAGCCACTAGTGAGCTTGATGAGAGCGTGCTGGAGTAGTGGTAGAGATTAAAGCATGCCTAAAATAAGTTCAGGAGAGAATAGGAGGAGAGGAATTGAAGAGGAGAATAAAACCATTTTTCATCCAAGGAAATTTTCTCTAAAGTAGAGAGGAGAAACAGAGCAGTATCTAAAGGACAAAGTGGAGTCAAGGGATTTTATTTTTAAACAGAAGATAAAACAGAATATTAGTATTCTGATGGGAGTAAATCAACTGATATTGGAGAAGAGATGGATGGATGTCCTTAACTAGTCAAGAGAGGATGGGATTGAGTAGACAAGTGGAGGGGTTAGCCTTGAATAGAAGGGTCCATTAATTCAAGTAACAGGAGGAATTGGTAATAGGTAAAGTGGTTTATAAGTGTGGTGTTGAGGGCCTAC